AGGTGAGCGAGCGCGCTCGCTGGGCGCGCCGCGGTAAGGTTCTGCTTCCAGATAGCGCCAACAGATGGCGCGCGAAACTAATGCCCTTTAGGGTGCCTTGATGCCCGCGCGCTCGCGCGCATCGAGGCACTCTAATGCCCTTTGGCTCTGCCTCCCGCATGCCGTGCGCTTGCGTCCCGTTCGCGGTGTAGGACCGCTCTGCCGAGGGCAACCGAAGCGCTGTCAAGGACCTACGAGCGGTTTTTACGTATTATGAGGCCTAGTCGTTGACTTATTGTTCACAATGGGTTGCCCAGGAACGATTGGCGATGTGCGGTTCACTTTGGCTGGAGACTGCATATAACTGATTAATTTTTCTTAATAACGTAAACCGAGGCCTGAGCAGTACGTTGGAATCGACATTAAGCTATGGCATCATGGAACAGGTTCTGGTGCGACCACGCTTTGTCGCAATCGCATGATTACACAACTTAACGTTTTTTTTTTGTTTTTTTTTAGTGACGTATGTGCTGTTTTTTCATCAGCTGTACCTGGCGCCACTGGTTCAAAAGCCAGGGGCATCTCTCCTTGCTATTCCGCTTATATTGCCGCGAAAGCTTTGTACTGTTTGTTTTGTACGTGTTCCTCTGACCTATGGTGCAACGCACCTCGGGGGATAGGCCATGGATCGTTCGCGTTGAAAGTTACCGCCACAAGACTTTATCACTTTTGTGCGCGATACGAGATGTCCTAAAAGTAACTACAAGAAACTGGAACAGTGTCTTCGACATTGTTCCACATTCTTGTCGTTACTTGCGGGCGCTTATCTCGAAAGTTTTTTACGGCTTTTAAATTGAGCACGGCCTAAAGCACCAAGCACTCTGTTCTTCGACGACCGCCGTGCACGTTTGTTGCTGTCGCCGGCCCCGAGTTGTACGGTTCTTAGTTGGCGCTAGTCCGCCTAATGAACACTTTCTTTTAGAAGCGTTTTGGTTCTCTTCCTGACCGTCGGACTGCCGTCATCACTACGTGACAATACGTAGCATAACTTCACATCAGGACACATATACCATTTATTTACTGACTTTTAGAATTTTCAGACATGAAATCGATCACACAAGAGGACACACAATATGTCCGATAAAAGAAGTTCATGAAACGCATATAAGCAAAGAAAGTCGCATTGAGTCCGTGTAGCGGTCGTGCTCACACAAGCTTTGCCATTTTTCGCAAGTCGTGGCTCTTTTTTTCATGTCTATTCTTCAATTGCCTACAGTACTGACGCATACGTAGGCAGATATAGTAGTGTAGCAACTTCGCAAGCATTTCTTCTTTGTGCGTACCGCAAGGAAATGTGAAGTGGAAATTCTCCAACACGGCATCAGTAGTTTTGTCGTATGCATCCCTGTCCCCTGCATACTTGGCAAACTGTTCCTCGGTGTACTTGAAAAAGTCAAAGAGGTGCATATTTGGATGCGTGAGCCAGCCCCGGGTTTTACAGTTCACGAGATCAGCTTCGGGCACGCTTGCGAGACCTTGTTTTCCTTGAAGAGCGTTCTTGCAAATGGAACAGGTTGTTCCATTGCGAAGTTTTCTGGACACAAAACCTGTAACGTAGTAGACAATGCACTCAACTACTGTTGCGTCTGTGTCAGGGTCGTCGAAATCGAAGACATCATCGCACTCCCAGCTTCCTTCGTCGATGAGCCCGTCAAGCTTTCGCTTTAGTTCATCCAACTTTCCTGTGCGTTGCGCGGCAGAACCTTTATATATTTCCCTGATATCAGACAAAGTCACAACGGCTGCTTGTCTTTTATCAGGCAGCGTGCAATTCCCAAACTTTGGTGGTTTTACCAAAGAATATAAGCTGAGCATACGGTACAGCTGTAGGAACGTGGGAAACGTCGGGTGCTCATTTTGCCCACCAGCTTGCCTGATTATTCCAAAGAAGCGCTCCAGCGGGTCTTGGTTCATCTTCGCCGTCAATACATACTTGAAGTCACAGTCCTTCAGCAGGTAAATTGACAGCTCCCGCACTGATTTCAGGGTTACGCGTAGGCCTTCTGCAGTCGACTGCGTCAGAAAAAGGTCCTTATGAATTTCCCCGCTCACGACCTGTTGCTCCCATGAGTCCAGCCACGCGGATGCAGATTCTAAAACACAAAAATCTCTGCCTTCTAGTTTTAAGCCTTCTGCTGGAAAACGTCGGTTTAAAGCGTCAAACAGGTCATTTAAAAAAAGTGTGAACTCGACCGTCGGCTCAACATTGGTCAGACGAGACGCGCCTCTCTTTGCATAGAAAAGAATACCTTTGGCTACGGAGTTGCTAAATATCTGCGTGGCAAGCTTCACCCTCATCCTCAGCATTTTGGAAGGGTTGATGTGGTTGAATGTTATTTTAGGGCACACCTTTAGCTCTGCTTTGTTCTCGTTGTCTGCAACGTACAGGGCATCGTAGCACGACCATTTTATCAGTTTGCCGTCTTTTTAAGAACCTTCTTGTCCAGTAGCCTGTTTCTGATGCACTTGAAAATGTGAGGCGTATCAGACAGCACATAAACATTTCTAGAGCTGTCCATTGGGTGCTCAAAGGAATTACGGACGTGGCCAAGTGCACCAGTAATGCCGAGCTGCTTCCACATCGCGCGATTGGTGGATGCACCATCACACACTACTCCGTCTACGAACAAGCCGGCTTTTTCTAGGTGCACGATGCACTGGATCAGGAGTTGCGAAAGCAGCGTCCCCTTAGTTGGTCCTTTTGACGCAAACACGGCTACTGGCTGTAGGTAGGTTTCACCAAACGGAGCAAATGCAAAGACGAGGCCATGATCTGCGAGTTCCTTGCTCTGATTATTTTTCTCTCCTTGATCAACAAGGCCAGTGTACGTCATTGTCTGCGAGTTGACAGCCATTTCCTTTCTTACTTGAATTTCGTCCAAGATCAGGATTCCCCGCCGCTGGAATGCGGTCTTTCCGGCAACTTTTATCTTGAGGGCTTTGAAGAAGTTGTCGTCGAAACCGCACTTCGGACCAACCATGCTTATGTACTTTCGCACTGTGGTAACGCACGGCAAAGGCAGTATATCGTTGTTTCTCAAGAAAGAGTAGGTGGCCGGGCTCCGTATGTGCAGCAAGAGGCACAACAAGATCCAATCGTCTGTGTATCGCCTGCTTGTTTTTGATGCGCACCTTGCGACTGATACACATTCTTCTATCAAAAGAAGCTGTGCTGGCGGTATATCAAATCCCTTTAGCTTCTCCTTGATATCTTGCTCCTGCAAATCTGTTAGCTCTTTCATCGCTGCTTGCAACTGCTCCAATAACAGCTTGTTGCGCTTGGCCAGTCGTGCTCGTGACCGCTGAACAGCTGATCGTGCATGCCGCAAAGCAGAAAGCTTCTGTTGTTGGGTGGGCACCACCGATAACCTGAAACGCTTGAGAGGTATTCCCTGCTTGGCTCGCGCAGCTCGGCGATCAGCATGTATTCTAAGGGTGTCAACGAGGCCCGAACACAGGCGACAGATAGCACCTCCAGGTGTCACCAAGAGACATTTGTTGTGTCTCCAGCTTTTTTGACAGTCCACAAAGGCACATTCAGGGGACACATCAGGGAAGTCCTTTAAACTAGGCCCTCCCCTACACACATCTATGCCGTCAACAACTTTGAGCATGGATTCAACTTCAAGGGCAGATGTGGCGAAGGGACTTACCCCTATTGCAGCAGAGTCGATCAACTTGTCTAAGATGTAGACTTGGACTTCCATGTTGCTTTTGACATGCAGAGCCTTCCTGTTAAACAGCACCGACGATCCGTCGCTTGTCCTATGCGCAACCGCAGCGTCAATAAACACGACGTCCCTCACTCCAGCTAAGTTGATGAGATGCGCCGCCCATGATGGCTGTGGCAGGCTAACGCAAGATACTGCACTGAAAAGCCGTTCGAACACTGAGTCACATGAGTTACTCTCACCAGTCTTAGTCACACAACAGCTGTCGTCAGACGACGTTTCCATATTGTCCGCTGGGGAGACTTCTATGTGGCTAGCTGTCGTTGGCAAGTTGCTGCTATTGTTGTTACAGCTACTCACCGAAGCAGCCACAGGAAGCGCTAGCCGTTTCACTTGCTTTCGAGGGCTTTTAATCTTTCTGGACAGGTAGCTTGGCGCCCCTTCGAAAATTGACGGCACAGCGTCTTTTGAAAGGCCCGCTCTTCTTGTTCCAGACATCAGCACATGGCCGTCAATTCCCGCAGACCACGTCTTCAGGATAAAACGGGAAGCGAAATGCTTCTCACAAACGCGATCCGTTCTTTGGAGCACGCGGTCCTTACGAGGAATGGCTCGTCTCCATGCTTCCAGTCTTGCTTCATCGTTCGGCGGCTTGAAAAGCGAGAACTTTTCTTTGCAAGACTTGTAACCGGTGTTACAAAACGGTACGAAGCACTTTCCCATTATGCAGGCTCATGAAAAAGTTCGAAGGTTGGGAGCTACCTGGCAGACAAATGAACAATGCTTTGACAACACCCGGCGAGCAGCAACAACGTGCCGTGAACAAAGCTGCAAACGGCTAGTGCTGTCTGAGAGCGCGAAGCGAGTGAGCGGGCACAAGTTTCTAGCGCCCTCTCTTGACGAGCGGAGAAAGGAGAACTCTAAGCGTGCCGCAGTGGCCCTCGCCCAGCGCGCGCCGTTCAATCACCTAAGCTACTACTTCTTACACCGTGCCTGCGGGTCAGCAGCCGAGTGCCTTAGCCGCTAGACCACTACCGTGGCGGGTACGGCGAAGTTTTCGACTTATGCATAAAATTCAGGAGCAGTATTGCTCAATCTACGTCAACCTCAGCACGCTCGAATATGTGAGTATTACTTGGGCATGTGACATGTCATTCCCCATCGATCTTGCACGCAGAGTGGATATTTTATGCGCTACATGCGCAGTGTGCCTATTCGTTAGCCATCGCTAACAAACATCGTGCTTCACAATATTAAACCCAAATAATGATTAGAAAGACGAGAAATAACCTGCAATTAGGCGGTGGGTCCAATGTTATTTCCGCAAGCTCCTTCTGGATCCTGAGAAAAGAAACAGCGAAACAAACATTTAGCAGGCAGCCCATTGAAAGCGCGCAAATTAAAATTTACAATGTGGCCACACGGCAATATCCAACAACGCTCAGAAAAAAAAACAAAAACAAAAGAAAACGTAAATAAATAAAAGAGACTTATGAAACCCAAATTCGTCGCGACGTGGGTGCCGCCTTAGTCCTAAGGACATTTGGCCAACTCACCTCTTGGCACTAGTGCTTAGAGCCTTTGACATCCTTAGGTTTGGTTTAGGTGCCTTTGGATCTTCTTGACACTTGTGTAACGCTGACGAGTAGCCACTAGAAGTGGAAGACTGGAGTTGAAGGCCTGGCCTGTGTTTGAACACCGGACATGTCACTCTCACAGAGGCATACAATCGCGAGATACACTACAAACCACGAGCACCCAAGCGGCCACAAGATACGGCAACGCTCCGAGAAAGATGCTACCGGGATGGGCAGGCTTCACAGCGTACGCCGACAATGGTAACATGGACTATACGGAAACATGAATTAGACCGATGAGAAGTACCTAAGTCCTAACAAAGACCTGAATGAAGAATAAACTTCTCCGGCCGATCCACACCCACCGTAAAAAGACGCGACAACGCCACATACGCTCTTCGCAAAGCGTTTCTAGTAATGAGAACGCAGCTGTAAGTAATTTCCTTTAACGTTGTACACGCGCAAAATTAAGCAAAAAGAAATCCCAACTTACAGAATGACGACCTCCCACCGACGAACAGCAGAACGGCGATCGCTGCACCCCTGTTGTGTTGGGCAGTGCGTGCTCTTCCACGCAACGACAGCACTCCCTGTAGCAGCTGCACAGTGGTTTCCTCATGATAACTACACTGCTATTTTTTTTTTTGTACAACTAATAAAATTCATTTCTACTTCCTTTAGAGAGCTACCAGTTTCTTTATATAATATTACCGAGAATCAGAATGCAGGAAACGTGGCGCTAAACTCAAATGAGAGTTGTCATCGAGTGGTGCTTGGCTAGATCAATGAACGGGATGTTTTTAAATGCGAAGCATTTCTTAACGAACTTCGGCGATTTTCGCCTTATATATGTATCTTTCTATCTCGCCGCCTACGACTTTTAGCTCTCCTGGCCGTTTCGATAATGGCATCTCTACCAAAATTGGTATGAAATAACATGACTGTATGATGAGCATGAGTGACTAGTCATAAGCTGGAAATCATGGCATGTATGCCTTGAATGCCATGATTTACATTTCATTATCTTGGTGCTCTTGCGGTGATTTCGTTGACATGACATATTGCAAAACTGGTATGGCATGACATGGCTGCCTCACGACCATGAGTGCCAGACCCTAACGTGGAAATCATGACATGCATGTCATGTAAGTCATGACTGCATGCCACGCTCATGGTGCGCTCGCGGTCCTTTCGCTAGTTTCACATATACGAAATTTGATATTACGAGACGTGAATGCATTGATAATTGATATGTGGGGTTTAACGTCCCAAAACCACCATATAACTATGAGAGACCCCGTAGTGGAGGGCTCGAGCCCCACCACTGAAAAAAGTAGGGGGAAGGGCCTAAGCCGCTCCCCCCCCCCCCCCCACACACACACAGTGGTCACTCTTGCCTGCACGTTGGGGAAACCAACAAGTAAGGTGAAGTTTTTCGTCACAACAGTAATCACTCAATTATGTTCTTACGAAATAATGAAATATTACGAGGCCCAACATAGCCAAATTTTGCCAACGTTTCCATTGTGATAATTTTCTTTGTAGGACCTTTGCCGTGCGGGTCGCCTATGCGACGTTTTCGCGTCTTCTGCTGTAGTATTGCAGAATAGGCAAGCGCTGAACAGAGGTCCTATAATATTTTACTTTATTAGAGATGAGGTTGCCAAGATTTGCTAGGGCATTTTTTATGGCAGCCATGGTAGTTGTGAATTCCTGGCGCCCTACGGTGGCTGTCAGCGTTAAGTCTGATTGAGGGTTGGCATTGGTCTGCCCTTAAATCTTTTACTTCGTCGTTAGGTAGCGCACTCTCATTCTTACCGACCATTACTGTCTGTGTATTCGTGTTGTTTGGAGCAGTGATAGAGGCAGAGAAAAAAGGCGCTTTCCTGCTCACCATGCCGTCGTCTTCCATCGTGGTGACGGGTTTCTTCTGCTGCTTTTTCTTGTTTTCTGGAGCCTGGCGGGTCCTGGACGCCGATCTGGACCATGACCGTGGTTTTGATGCTGATCGGGACCTATATGGTGAGCTTCCATCCCTGCTGAACCAGCGTTTCAGGGCCCGGCCGCGTCCATCGGCGCCTTGTGCTCAGGCGGCCATCCACTCTTTTGTTCTTGGTCGTGGACTTCTCGGTGTCCTGAGGCGTTCCTTGCACTCCTTTGCCCACGTAGGGTGCGCTTCCTTGCAAAGTGCGCACCGGGGCTCACAGGTGTGTCCGTCCTTTATGACTGGCTCGGTGCAATTTGAGCAGACAACAGCGTCTGGTGTTTGGCATACGTCTGCCCTATGCCCAGGTTTGAAGCATATATAGCAAACTTGCCGCGATGATCGATAGAGGTAACAACGTGTCTCACCACCGTAGTAGTAAACATAGCGCGGGACGATCTTGCCCTCGAAGGTAAGACGGCACTTTGGGATTTTCCAAGCATTCTTGCATAAAGTGTTTTCACTCCTTGGGTACGCACCCGAAGAAGGGCTAGTAATTCGGTTGGCGTGGTCCCGGCGTCTAGTCCATGAATCACACCCTTGCACGAGTTGTCCGGCGCGGCTACGTAAGCCATCACTGCATAGTCTTTTGCACCAAAGCGTAGACTTCGAAGGTTCTGCACAATGTTGGTGGTCTCCATGCTTGGCGTGGTGATTACGGCGATGTTGGATCCATTGCGCAGCCGTATAAGCAGGTTGCCTTCGTTGCAGATGTCTGGGTTACCACATGCCATAGTTATAGCGCGCTCCATCTGATGCGTGCTTAATTGACTGATGTTGAGCCCATCCCTCGGTCTAATGATGACCTTGAAGTCGGTTTTCGGCACTGGAGGCAGTTTCTCTTTTCGGAGAGGATTCCCTTTCTGTTTAGGTTGGCTCGACGCTGATTTGTCTACCGCTTCGGGCCCCGGTCTCCGGAACGGCGATCAGCCTTAAGTTGTGGTACGTTGCAGTGAACCATCCCCCGTTGACAAAAGGCTTCTTTTGCGAGACGCTGGTAGCATTTTCTTCGCCTTGAGTTTTTTCTTCGATCGATGTCGTGGCTCCGGTTGACGCAGTCGCGTCGTCTTCAGCCATTCTCACGCGTTGCGCGGAAACGCAAGTAGCCTTTCCGCTTAGGCTTAGAGCAGCGTTCTTCGCCTTGGATCTTCAAACAAGCAGACTTTCAGGAAATATGGACTTACGGTTAAAAACCGGTTATCCACCGACTGCGCTTGATTAGTAGAAAACGGTCCAGTACTTCATAGGTGGCGGCGATGAGGTTTTCCGGGTGAGATGAGGCGTCGAGGCGGGAGCTCATGCGAAGCACGTTTGCTTCGATTGGCCCCCTAGCGTCCTCCATCCTCCACCGGGGAACTCGAAGCGCGTGCCAACAGCGAACGGATTCTATTAAAAACTTGAGGTGACTTTATCCATCGCGGAATGGAATGCAAAACTTTATTACAAATAGTTCTTTTTTTTTTCGGTGAAGGTAGAGCCCTCAGTCCAGGGCCCCTGTGGCCTTTGCCATCTTGCAAGCTCTGTCGATCAGCTTGAGCTGTTCTTCAGGCTTAGAGCAGGACAACACAGCCTCCCACTGCTCCGGTGTTGGTGTACAGTTTCTTGGCACTACCTGTGTGTGTTGGCAGGCCCATGTCACGTGGTAAAGTGTGGGGTGTTCTCTGCATAGCGTTCATTTGTTGGTGTATATTTCCGGATAGATTTTACTCAGAAGACTGAGATTTGGGTACGTATTAGTCTGCAGCTGTCTCCAGGCAACCGACTGCTCCCTGTTGAGGTCTTTGTGGGGAGGGGGTATATCCTCCTCAGGGCTCTCTGGTGTTCTAAAATTGCTCCACAGCGTCTAGTAACTGTGGCTGGTTCCTCGTCGTTGTGCGCCCCCCGGTCGGCGTATTCTCGGGCAATGGCGTTGGCAGGCTGGTTCCCTGTCACACTTTAATGGCCTGGTGTCCACGTAATGGAGCAGCTCGAGAAGTTGATTTTTCTTCCCTTGAGTATGCGGATGGCAGCACTGGATATGCGTCCACTGCTGTACCGTCGACACGCTTGTTGCGAGTCAGTAACTATTTCTGTAGTAGACTCTTCGCTCTGGTGTGTGATGGCGAGTGCGATCGCTACTTCCTCAGCCTCGAGGATGCTGCTGCTTTTGATCAAAGCGCTGTTGACTTCCCTAAGTTGGTGATCAACTACTCTTACAACTGTCCCGGAGTGCTTTCTGTATGTGGTCGCGTCAACGTACAATACGTCGCTTCTCGCCTTGAAATTTTTTTCTTGTGCTTCTGATCTGGCTTTTCTTCGAGCCTTTTGGATTTCTGGATGCCTGTTTCGAGGTATTGGGCTGTTTTCAATGATCTGGCGAATGTCCTTCGGTATGCTCGCCGTATTATTGATTTCTCCGCAAGCAACCCTCATGCCCAATTTCTGCAACGTATGCCTGCCCGTAGCAGTCAACAGTAATCCGATTTCCTGCGCAACAAGATGCACCTCGATGTGTTCTTGCACTGTGTTGTTTATCCCGAGTTTAAGGAATTTCTCTGTCGAGGTGCTGACAGGTAGACCAAGGGCGCACTTGTAGGCTTTTCTGAGGATTGCCTCTAATTGTTTTTTTTTCCTGTGGGAGTGGTGTTTGGTAGGGGACACTGTATACAATCCTACTGACCACGAGGGCCTGTACAAGCCTACAAGTGTCCTCCTCCTTCATACCCCGTCTTTTGTTAGAGATTCTGGTGATCATCCTCGTGATTTGCGCTGTAGTGTTTGACAGCTGTCTGATGGTGTGATCTATACGACAGTTGCTTTGTATCCACATGCCGAGAATCTTAATTCGGGACACTTCTGGAATCTTCTTCCCCCCTATATAGACGTCTATGGAGTTTTGCAGATCGTATCCTCGTCTGTAGACTCTCAGGACTTTTGATTTCTCCGGAGAGCAGACGAGGCCACATTGACGGACGTAGTCGTGAACTGTATCAGCTGCACGTTGCAGATCTTGTTTTTGACCTAGAGATCCTCTTGTCACCCAAATTGTAACATCGTCTGCGTAGATGGCATGTCTGAGTCCTTCAATGTTTTCGAGGTTCCAAGCTAAGCCGATCATAACGATGTTGAACAGCATCGGCGATATCACAGAACCTTGGGGTGTTCCTTTTGTGGGCGTATCAAACGTATCAGTGCGGATGCCTCCTACACCAATTGTAACGGTTCTGTTACTGAGAAAAGCTTTGATGTAGTTGTGTATTCGCTTTCCACAGCCTAATTTGCTAAGCCCCTCTAGCACAGCCTTATGACTGACATTGTCGAAAGCAGCCTTAAGATACAGTGCAAGTAGTACGTTTTCGCCATATTTTGGGACATCCGTAAGCACTTCCTCCTTCATTTGTAGGAGGACGTCCTGTGTTGAGAGGAATTTTCGGAAGCCAAACATGGTGTGCGGCATGAGCTTCGTTGTCTTCCAGTTAGGTCTCCAGCCTCTGAAGCACGATTCTCTCGTATACTTTTTCCAAACGTGAAGTCAACGAAATGGGTCTTAAATTTTCCAAGCTTGGAGCCTTTCCAGACTTTGGAATAATTATTATTT